TGGGTTAGGCAGGACCAAGTATTTTTGCATGTATGAGTTTTCTCTGTAGATTTTTGCCTGTTCAGGCTGCAGCACTAATGTAAAATTTTAATGATAGAATAATGTCTGCTGTTGAATATCAAAGGGAAAAAAATCTATGGAAAGGTAAAATAGAGGAAATATATACCTTTTTTTCTGGGTGATTTATATTTCAGGAGCATTGAAATCACTTGCTTTTCAGGTAAATATTTCAACTTCAGATGCAAGTTGGTTTGAAAGCAAATTTGATGTTAAGTGGGATTTTCTTGTGCATTGCAAGAGAGCCTGTGAAATTTCTTTGGTTATAAAGCCAAGGTGCTTTATTTCATTTGGAAATTCTCACCAGTGGCACCCTGAATGTTCCCCAGGTGTTGCAGTCTTGAGTAACATTCCCATTAACTGCTAATTTATAGTGCTCATTAGCCAGGAGGTAGCAGGGGAAAGGGTAGAGTCTGTTACTGTCCCTGTAGCTCAGTAGCATTTTTTGGCATGTATAGGTCAGTCATGGCTTGGGTCCTGCTCAGACCTTGTAACGCCTTGTAAAGTTTCTTGCTTGATATTTCTTCACTATAAATAATACATATGAATATGATGCCTAAATCCTTTCTGAAGAGTTTTAGAAAATTCAGTCAAACCTTACAGGTATGAGCACCTCCAGTGCAGCTTACCTCAGCAATGACTGAATTATTATTCTAGAATCTCCAGAAACGGGGTCTCTTCCCTTGATTCCTTTCTCTATTCAAATAATTGCACTTTACATTATTTGGTGGCAAACACTCTTCTCTGGTTGTAATCTACAAACCTGTACTAGACTGATCTCATCTCTAGACCAGAGTTACCCCTCTTCCAATGCCTTCATTCTGAGATTCATGAAGAGCTTTGTTTCAACAGGTGAAATAGTATCGGGGCTAAATTCAGGATCAGTAGGCAAAGGAACAGCGAGGGAAGGCAAGAGTTTTGAATTGACAGATTTCTTCAGACATCCACCAGCACAGTCCAGACTTCAGCACATAGGAAGTCATTTCCATGTAGACTGAGTCCAAAGTTATCTACGACCAGAAAAACAATATGAAAAAATGTTCATGGTTTGGGTTCATCTACTGATCTGGTTTTCTTCTGTATCAAGCTCATGGAACTTCACAGCATGCTGGGTGGTAGATAGAAAACACTAGTTAATGCTCAACCAAGCTATTTTTCTAGTGCTGTGGATGTTAAGTTACTGAAATTCAATGATATATTAGCAGTAACATATATTTGTGTGTGAATGTGTAGAGACATTGTGTTCAGCGTAAGGGCTGTTTGGGTAGAAGGAGAGGAAAGCCTACTCTTTATGCCTCTGGCAAACTTCCATAACTGGCTCACCCTGACTGGATAAGATTTGTTATTTGTAGAGTGGTGGCTGCCTGGAGAAATGCTGTAGCAGCGAGCTTAGCCTGTGTGTCTAGCAGCAGCCTTTATTAATTGCAGCAGTGGGTGGAAAATGCATTAGGCTCATATATTACTGCTGAGGGGTTGATGGCATCCATTCTCACAGGATTGCTATATGCTCCGTCTTCCTATATGGAATTCTCTTCAACCTCTTCTTTTTCCTTTCTTTCTCTTGAGACGTTGCTTGTGGTACCCTCATTTCCTGCATCCTTTGCTAGTCAAGGCAAGGGATGGAAGAACCCTGATACCAGCCTGAGGTCCTTTGTGATGCCACAAAATGGGGAGGTTGTTTTTCAGTAGTCACTCAGTAGCTGCCTTTTTGTCTGGTTTCAAGAAAATAAAATTAAAAAAAAAAAAGAAAAAGAAAAAAAAAAAGTGGAGAATGAGAATTACTAGTAAAAGTAAAATAAGATTATTCTCCATAAAGTATTTGCAGAAGTTTCTACTTTCCTCCATCTTACCTTCCATTGAGATACCTGGAAACTTCCCTCTGTTTCAGTACTGCCTGAGCAGTTCTACAGACATGCCTGCTCACTGAAGATACAGGGAACAGCCTAACCTGCCAGAGCCTTTTTTATATACCTGCCTATATCTGTCCTCAGCAGAAATGTTGCTGGCCAAAGTGTGCTAACGTTTTCCCGGGGGTTGCCAATGTGAGTATACAGGTGATACTACAATGCACAGGGTGGGGTGTCAGAAAGAATAATTTAAAGAAATAATTCAGGCAGCCCCAGCTGGCTGCGTCATGAAGTCTGCCACTCCAGCACAGCTCATCTGGGTGGATGGGAACCAGCCTCAGAATAGCAAAGCTCAGCACTAACTTCCCCAGGGAAAAGTTGTTCATGCTGTGTACCTGCGAGGCATTTATATAGCATTACTCTGTGCATAGTGCATCCTCCTGCTGTCTGGTGCTACTAGTAACAGAGAAATATTGACTTAGACGTGCTGTGGGTAAGGTCACACCCTACTGGCTTTGAAGGTTAAAACATCCTCTGCCCCATGCAAGCCTACAAATAGGGTGTTTTGGTAAGTATAACTGAACCTTTGTTGCCTTTGAGGACAAGGACCCACAATTTTCTTTATATTTGAAAATGCACAGGGAATGCACTGTAAATCGTATGACATGAACTGAAGAAACTTTGTCTCTCTTTTTGCTCTTCAGTCTGTCACAAACTTGTGACAACAAGCATTCTCCTGCAAGTGTAGATGGGAATTGTGCTTGTGAAGGGCAAAACTTGACTTCTGTCTATGCACAAACTAAAAAGGCTTCTGGATTTCCTTATTTTTGGGGAGAAACCTGAATATGGGAACTTTAAGCTGCCTAAATTTGGGGAGAGAACTTCAAAAGCAATATTGAAACCTTATAACTTCCTAGTTTCCAGATCTGTCTTGAGAGCTCCAATGCTATGGGGTGGTGAGAGGCAGTAAAACTTCAGGTTAAATATATGCAAAATAAGCATAACTTGAAAACAAATCCTTGCGCTTCAGATGTTGGACTCTGTTATAAACCAGATGCGGTAACACTGGTAAAGAAAGCCCAGGTTCATTTCAGCCAACGTGTGGGATGGTTTGCAAAGCATGAGTTTGTCATCTGAGCCCCCAACTAATATTTGGGCTTTCTATTTCTAGTGGTGATATGTGCCATTTCTTAACATAAAAAAAATTGGCTGTTATCTGTAGAGGCTTAATCAGGAATTTGGTTTAAGGGAAGGCTGTGCAGGTTCCCTTGCCAGCATAACTTGCTTTGTTTTATGAGTGCATGTGATGACCTCTGTGTCTTCATATGGGCTGTTTACAGCGTGACCACAAAGATAAATGGAGATGGTTAAAGCTGTTAAATTCCAGTGTTCCCTCATTGCACAGTAAGTCCTGAAGTGAACAAAATAAGTTGGGGAGAAAAAAAAAAAAAGTAATCTGAAGTGCATCTAACACACTTCTAATAAGGACATGTGATCATTTCAAGAAATATTGTCCATTTTTATGGAACTGTATCTGTTCATGAAAACTGAATCAAAATTGCAAAACATTCTATACATGCTGACTGAAACAAATGGTTCTATATATTTATGCTTTGTCTCTTGGTTTCAGATAATCAAAAAAATTATTTCATGGAATTCAGATTTAATGTACATTTAACAAAAAAAAAAAAAAAAAAAGGAAAAACCCTCCTCTGAATATTTTTTTTTTTAGCATCTCTTCCCCAGTTCTGGAAGAGGAAATTCTGCAAACCAAATCTGAACTCAGGAAAGGGAGGTACTAGAAAGCATTCTGTGCCAAAAGAAAGCACAAAAGGTAAAATATAGCATCATCCAGAAGACTCCCCTCAGTCACACATCTTTGAAAGATGTAGCTTTTGTCCAGATCACAGCAATTTAACGCGATACAGAACACTTTTACCAAAGAGCAGAAGTTATTAAGAGCTTTTACAAATGAGCATTTTAAAAACTGCTAATATAAAGTGTTCTCTTTGTATCAAAGCATCAATGGGTGGAGTGTTTCCTTTACGTTTTCACAGATAAAGTATTTGTTTCTTACAGTGACTCATTCAGATTAGCATTTCAAGAACTGAGCCAAGGTGAAAGAATTTGTTCTGCTTTTTCTAATTCATCTGTTAAACATGTTTTTTTCTATACAACTTGTGCATTGAGTAACATTTACTGTACTTTATTACTATATTCTGCTTAGTCTTCTTTTCAAGCTCAACTCCTGGCAAATGATTAAAAGTTTTAAGTGACAGCTAGTGCCCTATTAAGTTGCTAGACCTTACAATAGCATCTGGAAATGATATCTGTCTCTTTAGGTGAATTCTTGGAAGAGAATTTAACTGTAATTCCCCCTTTACCTTCCTTTCCGTCCTTATCTTCTTTCCTTCAAGAGCTGACAAGTAAAGTAAAGACAAGGTATGAGACTGTGATATAAAACCTGTGTACATGTAAATCTAAGTTACTGCATATAAAAGAAAGAAAAACAAAATCAGAACTGCACTGGGAGTTGTGATGGGAAATGTGGAAGATTTCTGTTCCATCTTGCATTTGTACATAGCGCGAGAAAATTGCAGTTGATGGGAATCTTGATACAGGCAATGAAAAGCAGTGATGTACAACTCTGTTCTAGGGGTGAGAAGAGCCAGAAAGAAAAGTTAGTGAATGTTTTTGCTGCTTTGAAAGGCATTAACTTCATTAGCATCCTACAGACAAAGGCTATAGTGTGGTCAATCTATAGACAAAAGCACCAAAAGGAGTTAATGTTATACAAAGTACATGCATAGATCTTTGCATCAAAATAATACTTTGTGTTTATGCTTCAGAGTTAGTCATTACAGTTTGTCAGCATGTTTTGCGTGGGTTGGGATAATGATTTCTGCAAGACTGTTATAGTCTAGCTGGGAAAAGCAGCGCTTCTCTTGTGAGTTTTGTCACTTTAAAATTTATGCAACTGAAAAGGCCTGAAGAAATTATTGGCTGTAGATAACTATATTTGGTGATTTGGGATGGTAAAGAGAAGGCTTAATAGTTCACATTCTGTTTGTAATATGTTTGCAATATTTACTGTAGGTTGAACCCACACAAAGGTAGAACAGCTGACATAGCTGGAAGCCGCTTGGATCCCACCACTGAAATTGAGGTAAGGATTTATATCTAATCCCCCATGTCCGAAACAGAAAACATACACCTTCATGTCAGGACATGGGGCAGCAGCTTTCTGGTCATGATGGAGGAAGCTGGGATGTAACAGTGTTTGAGTATCTTCTTGTGGTGTTGTAGGGAACAACGCCAAGCTGTTTTACTTCTTGCTTGATCTAAGTTGTTCTTCAGCCTTATGACCTGCACTGTCTTACTACAGGAGTAGTAAAATCCCAAACATGTGGACCCCAGTATTAGCATAGCCAGGCTCCACGTAAAAAAACTCACAGTAAAACAGCCTCGCTGCAGCCAAACCACATGTAAAAGCAAGCTGTGAAACAGACTCAACACTGCCAAACCACATGTAAAAGCATGCTGAAAACCACCCTCCGCATAGCCAAATTATGTATAAATTGGTGATGAACAGTCAAGGTCTGCATGTTTATTGGAACGACTCAAGGCTGTGGAGAATCCCTCACACAATTCACCTTGTCCCCCACCTATTGTCCAAGCAAAGCCATCTGGCGATGCTCTGAACAGTCCCATTCCCAAACCTGGAGTTACCAGGTAGTGGTTTGGTGGATTCAAGATTGAGCTGCTCAGTATTTGAAAGTAGTAAGAAAAAGAATCAAGCCCAGAAAGAGTAAAGGGATAATTTTTCTTGTCTCGTTCAGACAGAACTGATATTGCTGGGCTATTCCTTCTAATATATCTTATTAACCTTTCTGACCACAGTGAGAAAATCAGTCTGTCAAGGGATGGAAAGAAGCATCTGGTTCTTGTGATTAATCTTTCTAGCTAGAAATGAGTGAGATACAATTAGGAATCCCATTTTCAGTTGTACTGACTTCAAAAAGTAATCTTAAAAAAAAGAAATCATTACAAAAGAGGGATAACTGGAAGAGTTGAGCTACCACTTCACCGATGTTTCACAACCTGAAATGCAGAGGGCCTTTAAATGGTTTTGTGATGCATTTCATGTGTTATCATTGCAGTTGTTTTTCCAAGAAAAAAAGTATTTGGGGGTTTTACAGCCTCTTTGTTACAATAGGTCTCAAAGCACCTCACGAAGGAGCTCAGTATCATTATCCCCTTTATACAGCCATAAAAGCTAGCAGGGAGACATGAAGGGACTTGCCCAGTGTTGTGTAGGAGGTCAATGGCAGCCCTCAGTGCAGAACCTGCATCTTCTGAGCCCACATTTCTGGCTTTTAAACATTCTTCTTAGTTATCCAAAGAGGGCTTGCGTTGGAAAAGGCTGCTCACAGAAACTGGTAGAAATGTGTTTAAGGGTATGCTCAACCAGTTAGAGTTAGTTTTGCTTTTCTCTTGCATGTTTTGTTTGAACATGTTGTTGTTTAATATGCCATGAGGGAGTTTGGGAACTGACTTCTGTGGGATAATCCAGGATTCCCGGCCTTTGACACACAGTGTAGCTGTTGAAATCAGGGGTCACGGCTTCCCCGGGTGCAAAGCAGAAGGGCTTGACAGGCTTAGGTGAAGAAATTTCAGTACATACAAGCTGAGGATTTGGCTAGGGGACCAAACTCACATTCAGTGTAAGGGGGGCATTAATCTGATAAAATCAGTTCTACATTTTAAAATTAATAAGTTTTTATCCATTTCCAGCTGAGCAGTCTGTCAGTATGTAAATACCATATCTTATTTACACATTTTAAGTTCTCTAAATGCTGCCTCGTTTTTCTGCTGCTCATTCCAGGCTCACCTTTGCAGTCGTGCCTGCCTGAAGGCTACCAGCAGGCCGAGGCATGGGGCTGGCTGGTATGGAGCAGTGTGGGGTTACAGGGAGGTGCATGGCTGCTCGCCCGCTGCCCCCCAGTCTAGTCACAAATGTTAGCTATTGCCAGGTGAAAAGAGAGATCAGGAGCAAGTAAGTGCATTGACCAAGCTCTCCACGCTGCACCTGTCCAGCTCTGGCAGAAGTTGGTCCGCTTGGCAGAGACCCGAGCATCTCACTGTCAGTGAGAGACATCGCGGAGGATCTGATGTTTCAAAGCAGAGCAGAAACACTGCAATATGTTAAAAAGCTCAGTATTGTTTCTAAAAAGTACCAGCTAGTGCAGTTAAGATAAACATGTGACACATCTGACTCATACCAAGTATTTTCTCAGGACTACACTGACGATAGTAAAAATGCCTAAAGCAATATATGAAATAAAACAGCCCCACATATCAAAAGTGATCTTATAAAGCCCAGTTATGAGTCCAACTAGAGGGTAAAAAACAGAACAGGGCAGCAAGGGAGGGAGGGGAACCACTGCAATACAGCACGGGGATCCAGGGTAAATCCTTAATGTCAATTTGGCTATTGATTTGAATTTTTCAAATCATTTTAAGAGCAAATGAATGGGGTGGGAGGAGAAGGTATGAAAATATTTAAATGCAAGGTTTGATTTTTTTATCAGCGATTATGCATTTATATTCTGTTCATTGCTTTTATGCTATTTTGCTGTTCTCTTACATCCCTATGTATGCTTTTACATCTCATTATCTGATGTACTTTAACAAAATATGTGAACTTAAGAACAAAAAGCCAAAGCCCACATTTGCTCATGCCAAATCTTATCTCTTTAAGATAGAAGGTTAATCGTGTACACAGCCACAGTGTGGTTAAAAATAATCCTTCTGTCTCTGCGAAAATTATACTTTATAATCAGCTTTTAACTAGCTCCACCACCACCACCAAATCAACATGTGTATGTATATAGTGCCTTATGAAGCTAGAGGCTCTGCAGATCATGAGGCAGATTGATATCTCCCGAAACGCTTGTCACTTCAATACTCCATCAAATCGCTGTGGATAGCGTTAGGTTTTCCCACTTGGAATTCAGTGGGAAAATCTTTCCTGGATTTCAGCAAACGCCCCAAGCCAGGGACTGATTTGGCAAGGTCAGACTGAAAACATCTTTCCACACTTACTTAGAGCAAGGCACAGCTCAAACCCGGCTTTGTCCAGCTGTCAAAAGCCTGAAGTGGGAAGTTAGTTCGGCCGCAAAGACATAGAGATTGATCAAGTAGAAATATATCCATCGGAACTTGGGAGCTGAGGTGTCTCGGGATCCTTCTCCGTAGGCTTTTCAGCAATCATCCCTGCCAGAAATACAACAAACACCCATTCTTTTCTTAGCTCCTTTGGTATCTAGTAAGACTCAGTTTGACAGCTCCAGCTTCTGGATTCCTGCTGCAGCAGCCCACTCCTGCTTGTAGGCTCTTGAGATAGGAGTCAGTGGGGGCAGGACCTGCTAAATACACCAACACCGGGAGAAATGGGTTCAGAAATGTTTCCTCTTCAGTAGCAGCTGGGAAAGAAAATTTAATTGACGTACTCTACCCCTCTAAGGCCAATAGGGAGAAAACCCATCAGGATTACTTAGGACCTTAGAGCCAGATAACTTAGGAGTTCAGAGCTACTGTGTCTGTGGAAGAGCAAGGCCCCTTTTGTCATGCCCTGCTTGCCTTGAACAGACTCAGGAATTAAATCTGTGCCCCTCACAACAGATCCTCCGTGGTGGGAGTGAAATCTGAAAGAGAAGGGGCACAGCCTGAGCCTCTCTATCTTGGGCAAGAGTCAGAGAGGACATTTTGCAGGGGAAATGAAGTCTCCTGATGTGTGAGCTGAAAAGATGAGGTGGGAATTAAATAAATAGGACAGTCCATAAATAAATAAATAAATTTAAACAGTATGCAGACAATTTTCTGCCTAGTTACAGGAGGCTATTGAAATGGCAGCAAATTCCCATTTCCACCTAGCCACTCTTAAAGCCTACAAGTGCTAGCCTTGTATGTAGATGAAAGGAGAGGCTCACTGAATTTGTCCTGCTATAATCAGGCACAAGAACAGAACAAGTACAAAAACAGTTGTTAGGGGTTTCCTCCCCAGTTTAAAAATATCCTAACCTCATCAGTGACCCTGGTACAGAGAATTTCTTTCACCTTAAGCCCTCCAATTTCTCAGCCAGTCATTAATCCTTAGGATATGCCCTTTGCCTTCATCCTTATTGGACAATCCAACCTATTTCTTGCCTGCCTTTGGGGCAGATAACCTCAAAATATTAGCTCTCAGGAAAAATGAATGTATTTGCTTCCAGGAGGGGATACTGAAATTAAATAGTAGTGCTTACGTAAAGTACTGACTCTAATTATCCTTGCTTCTTTTTTAGTCTTTTCCATTGTTTCATACAGAATTATCATATTTCCAGAAATATTTAATGACCCCATTCTTATTCTTGAACGGTTTTATTTCGAAGTCTCTATCTTGTATTCTGGGCAATCCTGAACAATTAGACCCCAGACTATCAGCTCCTTGGAGATTTCTTTATTTTCTGTGCCTTACCAACATGTATTCTGGAAAGATCATCACTGGACCCACAAGAGATAGAGGAAAGTTTGAAAGTGGTACTTCACTGTGGTATTTTTATAGTGTTCCCCGGTTGGTATGTTTGCAGCAGTTAGGAGAAGGGAGAAAAAGAAAAAAGAAAAAAAAAAAAAAGTAATAAAGAAATGTGCATCAATCAAAGCAGCTAATCAGAACAAAATGCTGATTTCTGTCTCCTGTTCTGTTTCTTTTTTGGATGGAGTATAGTTGCTGATATGTATGCTGGTCTTCTAATCCTTTAATGGGGGCACAGGCTTTTGAAGACTCCCTCTCAGAGGTGCTATTACCAAATATATGCTTCTAATTTAACTTCTCATGCCATATTACAGTAGCCTGAAGCAATTGTAGGTGTTGGGTTTGTGAGAAAAGCCCAATGTTGATGTTTATCAGATGACCTTTTAAAGGGTAATGTGGGGGTTATCCATTGGCATGATTGAGACCATATGTAGATCACTTTTCCCAGGCATTTCTTACTGCTTTTCAAAATCCCATCTATTTTTACCCAAATTCAGCCAGGTACCTTTCATCTCTGGTATGTTTATGGGCATTAAAAATGAGACTGAAACAAAATGTTTGCTTTTTTGGAGTAATTTCTATCTGAAAAGTCAAGAAGCCTTGAATGCATAAATATATTGTCAGGACATTGCTATTGCAGATACCAACAAGCATCTTTCTTTTATTTTTGAACATTTAGATGTATACAGCAGTTTATTCTTTTCCTTCTCATGTCTGTTGTCCTTCCTTACAAAGGTTTCTTGAAACACTACAGACAGAGAATTTCCTCCATGAGATTCAGCTGTTAGTGTTGAATTTAGGCACCGAAACCTGAGGCTAGGTGCATCCAAGCAGTCCTTGTGCTCAATCTTAGGTCCCTTCTCAGAGGTAGGGTATATGGGTTTGGTGCTGAGTGTTCAGGCAATGACCTCACAGTGATGTATTGCTACAGAGATGCTGAGATCTGGGGTTTTGGTAAAATCCATTATCCCTGTTACAGAAGAGAAGGACAGAAGATGAATCTGCCTCAGTGTTGTGCATCTGAGGTCATCCTTTCTGCTGCTTTAGAAGTTTAGCGTTTTCCTGACAGTTCATCACTTTGGTAGAGTCCTTGCTGAAGACCAGCTGCCAGTGTTTAGTGCAAGTCTTCAAAAATGGGCTATTACCAAATATTTCTGTTTTTTCTTTCAAGAAAGGTCTTTGCATTAGCAGGGGTTGAAGAAAAGTAGCACCGTAAACTTTACCACAAAGCAGAGTTCAATACACTTTATGTTGAGGTAAGGTTTGTCTAAACCAATTTAATGTTTCAGGCAGTTAATGTTGAGCACCTGCTGGTATTTTGAGTTTTTGATGTCCCAGATTTGTAGTTCATTATTGGGAAAACTTAATTACTCCACTAGTACTCAGACAGGCTTCGGAGGAGCATGAAGTGAAGAAACATGGACCCGGAGGTTATACGTGGGCTGCCATCACAAAGAAACTAAGGGAGGAGCGGTGAATGGTACCACAAAAAAGTACTACTCAGGGAGAAAAGTTTTTCATTCCTGTGGACTTAAAGTTTTTTTCTAAGTATCAGAGACTTTTTAAAGCTTGGCTTACATGGCAATATCCTTTCCTTAAACTAATTATTGTACTCAATATGAAGATGGACAGTGAAACACTGGGCCTGTGGCATAATGTATCAAAACGCAGGGAGCTGATGACTAACTTGCTCTTGAAATGCTATGAATTGGCAGTGTCTTTACAACAAGAAATGGAGCACTTGTTTCTCTGGGGTTATGGTACCTGTGTCAGGGCCCTGGGAGTGCTATCAGGCTGTAATGTTCCTGCTTGGCCCTATCGGGGCTTCCCACAGCCTATGACCCCATGTTTGCCCAGTTCCATCAGTTCCCCATCTCATAAACATGTGCAGCTTCATTACTGTCAAGTGTCAGACCCAGGTTACGGAGGGCTCACACTTGAGCTATTGTGCATCAGGCACTGCAATAGCTGCTCCCATAAGCCCTGAGCATGGCAAATGCAAAATCATGACCTCTCTACATTTCTTCCCTTGTGGCATAGAGCAAGTGGCACTCCTGGCATGTCCTGCAGGCTGAGAACATGCACACGAGCAGTCACCACCACGCAGCCAACACGCGCTGACATGTTAAGCCACAGGAATTTGGTTGAGGCAGAGCTTTTCATCAGCTTGTACTACAAAGACAAAATGCTGCCCCCGTTGAAGGCAGTGGCAAAACTCTGGTTGGCTTTGCAACAGCCAACATCTCGCCCTTCTGGCCACTGCCCTTGGAGCTGGAAAGCCAGGATGTGGATGGTGCCGTTCACAGCTTACCTGCTCTAGAGGAATGGGGAGCTTTGAGAATTTGGAGGCCGTCGTGGCAGTGCAGTAAGCATGGAGGCAACCAGTCAGGCTTTGATTTTCCACTGCAGTCACAATAGCTCCTTCTCCTTGAAAGTGTTACCCAGGTTGGGGGTTTTCTTGGGAGCATTTATGTATCTCCCTTTAGTCGAAATGTATGAATTACGTTCAAATAGCATGGGAATGGCTTATCCATAAATTCTAGTAATAACTGCCATGAATAATGCTATCTAGCCAGTTGTACTGCTCTCTCTGCTTTCGTTCCCCAGTAGCTTGCAAAAGCAATCAACATCAAATTTCGGGTGGATTTAGCAAGGGGATTTGGACTTCTTAATGTGAAAGACGGCTTTGAAAAACTCAGCCTTAGCAAACAGCAGCTAATAATAATGATAACAATAATAAAGATAAGCCGATTCATATCTCCCCACCCAAAACATTTATATAATGAATTAGTTAATTGTATTTTATCTGCTCCTAATGGGTGGGTTGCTAGCCTTTGCATTTCAGCAGACCTGGGGGAGCTCTCATGCAGTCTGGTGCCAAGAATATGTGTTATTTCATATTCTGTTATTTGCTTTGAGTTTAAGGTGGTGAGAGGAAATTCCCCAGCAATCAGCTATAAATGGTTTCACAGTGAGCAAGTCTTTTCAGTGCTTGAACATCTCTTGTTAAAGGAAGAAAAAAAATCTCTTTATCTGCTTTTTGTAGTTCAGCCATTTACCATGTATCTAGGTAGAAGCCTTAAAAAAAAAAATAAAAAATTCCAACAGCTTAAGCATTAGAACGTACAAAAACTAATTCCTGTGTCATTTTATCATGCCTAATTGGGCCTAAAAATAGCCTGTGGGAAGGAGGACCAGAAGCCTTGAGTGTCTGAGGCAATTTGTATCAATTATTTCCCAATGTACCAGTCACAAGTGAAAGCCCTTGCCTGAGTGCCTCCATTAGCCAGGTGTCAGAGCTCTCTCTGTTTTCATTTCAGGCTTTTTGCTGGGAACAGGGTGTGTGCGGGCTGAAAAGCACTGAGGAGGAACTGAGGCCATGGCTGATCCAGGAGGGTGCCCAGAGCAGCTCTGCAAGTGAGGTTAGTGCCTTCACTTCTCTGTCATCACCAGTCCTTGAGAGCAATCACCACCCACCAACAGTTCCTCAAGATAAGACTGAGCCAGCTGGGAGAAGAAAGCCTTTGATATTTTGCTGCCTCGCTGAGTAAGTATGCCATAACAATAATACTTTGAACTTTTACAGCACCTTTTCATACCAGGGTCTGAGTGCTCTACAAACATTCATCCACTAAGCCTGATACCACCTATTGGTGGAAGCAACTTTTTATTGAACTCCTTTTATAGGCCAAATCTTCCAAAGAGTTCAGCATCCATTTTGTCTACACCAGAAAACTTTCTTGCTTTGCATGAAGTACCTGTAAGTTTCTAGGTTTCCACTTTAGCCACCCATGCCCAGCATTGGTAAAGTCTGTACAACCTCTGCCCCAAACTGTTTAAGTCCCAGGATTCTGCTGATGTGCCCCCATAAAGCTGAAGCTCTTGTAAACTGATGATCTCCTGCTTACAGCTTGTGGGGACCTTCGCGAGCTCCTGATGAGAATTTTGCTGAACAAAACAAAGCTTTGTCAAAATGCCAGTGGTCTTTCTGCTCTCTGTAGCTCTGTTGTTGGCTAATGTTGAATGCTACATGGAAAGTAGTTATGTTTGTTTTCTTCATCATCAAAACTATTCTCTGTGATGCTATTATATTTGGAAGCAAAGCAAGAATATACTTGTCACAGTTACATACAAGCATATCGTAGATGAATTAAAAAGAGATGCTACATCCCAGATAGGCATTGTATTTTCATTTGTAAAGCATGCCACAGAATTAAACTTTGATCTTCATTTTCTGTCTGCTTTCTCGGTGAGAGAATATAGTCAAAACCAGTTCTGGAATTGATCTATCTCTATGGAAAGTTGATTTTAAACTTGTGCCAAATGTCGATGAAGAATCACGGTTAAGGTTTCCATGCATAGAAAAACACTGGCTGATAAGGAGGATAGGCTAAGAGTGCACTCTGCAGCCCAGAGGACAATATACATGCCTTCTAGTTACTGGTCCCTTCAGGGAGTTTACACATTTACAATCCAATACCAACACTATTCCTATAGCATTCAGGGTCTTCATCTTTACCCCGTTCCCAATGACTGGCCACAGCATCCAAAAGGTAAAGCATTTGAGGCATTACATGGGACTAGAGCATTTGAGTCCTGCTCCACAAGTCAAACAATCCACTCACTGATGCCTTCAGCTCTTATTTCTACTGTTGCTACTGAAAATCAAATAATTCCCTTGACTACTTTAATTTTGAGGCATTGTAACTGTGTTGATTGCACCTGAGGCAGTCATCATCTGTTCCTGTTGCTGAAGTATGCCAAAGCCTTTGGTTATTCAAATCCCATAAATTCAAGGTGTGGAATTCATATGCTTGTTGCAGTGACCCTAATCTCTTAAAACTGAGAAGTAAACTTCCAGCATACAGTTGCTTTTCTGAGCCAAACTTCTAATCTTTTTAGGCTCGCACATCACAAATTGTAAGTGCAAAGTGGAGAAAAAGAGGAAATGCAAAGTGATAGTCAAGCTAAAAATTGTCAAATATATCATCTCTTCAAGTAAGGCTGTACTAATGTGGAAGGTGGGAGGCAGGGTGATGACTGGCTGTTCTTCCTTTATTTTATACTCCTGGGAAAAGAGAGAGACACTGAAGACTGCAATTTATATATGTGTGTATATATATATGAAGGTATTAGAACTGTTTGAACTCTTTGAACTGCTGGAAAGACATGCCCTCCAAATCACTTTCTTAACTTTTCCTGTAATTCAACAGCTGCATTTCTCACAGCTCATGTCTCCGAGTGGACCAGCAGAGGTGACTGGACATATAAGAATAACATTGGACAGACGGTATGTATGGATATAAGGTATGCAATCACTTGGGAGATAATCTCTAATTTTGAAAAGACAGTCATTCGTTTTGCAACAAATTAAAGACCAAACGTACTGTTTCTGTGAAGCCCTCTCCAAGCTTAGAGTTTAGCTTTAGCTCTCAAAAAATCTTCTTAAGACAAAAGAAACTCAGCTCGTGTAAACAAGCATAGCCTCCCTTCCTTGCAACTCAGAATGCAGCTGGGCATGAAATACTACAGTGTACGTTGGTGTCCTCTAACTGAGCTTCTCTGCCGCTGAGACTGAATGGTGATCATCTTCCCTCTGGACAGCCGCTGCATCAATAAGGCAACCAAAGGTGAAATGCTAGAAATCAATCTGCTTCTCATTAGTGAGACGAATGGAACTATACTGGGGAGAGAGATCGATGGAAGGGTGAGAAGATGTGTTAAGAATTAGTTAAAAGAGGGATTGAAGGAGGAAGTTAGTATTTGTTCAGATAGTTTAGATTAAACTTCGGAGTGCTTTTGGATAAGTGTCTCACATGAGCAGTGTTACATACATTCTGGGTATACACACTTCTAGATAAAATGGGTTCAGAAGAGATGTCTCATGTCAGAGCAAAGGGCAGCAGGTGCTTTTATATCTTCATGGATTTTATAAAATATACCTTTAAAATAAAAAGGTACATTTTTCATATACTGAAGAGCAGAATATATAGGTGTACTGAAACTGAGTCACGAAGCTTGCACAAGTCTTCTGTAGGGAAAAGATATTTGTGTACTTACACTTCCTTGTGTTCGAACATACACAAGTGCACACAAATAGCATGCATATAATTGCATGAGAGCCATTTATAAATATGTTTCTCTTTTTACTTCTAGTTAGCATGCTCCTGTATTTGTAGCTCAAATTACTTTTTAGGAGCAGAAGGTGATTCCTCTGCTAGCAGAAATAGAGATGAGGAATTTTTCACTCTGGATGCAATGACAAGGATATTATTGAAGTAGTTCTGGAGCATCTAGGGGGGCACAAGACATGGTATGGTTGTGCTGCTGGGGAGCCATTTTTCTCAGGCCAACCACCTTGCATTTTTCAAAACACAAATACAGTTTTGCTGCTTCTGGGACACAGGCCAGCTCATTTAAATGCAGCACTCAAGAGATGGAGGAAAGGCAATTTGCCACAACACCTTTTCCATCTTGCTGCCTAGCTCACTGCTGCAGTTACAGATGGCCAACATTTGTGTCTTAAACATTTATCTTGCAAAATATAGACTTCTATATAAAAAGTATTTAGTGGTGCAAAATATTTCCCTTAAATTTAAATTTTCATCTCGTTTCAATTTTTAGGAAACATTTTGAAATTTCAGATGTTGTTTTTTCTCCTTTTCATCACCTTCCTTCTGTCTCACACTGTGAATACTGTAGATTTTTGCCAAGGTTAGAAGATTCAGGGCGGGGCGTGGGGTGTTCATTTTCTTTCTGCCACTTATTTAAAACTTTACCTGTGTTGTTACTAGACTGTCTTCAGACCTTGGCTAACATGATTTCTCAGTGTCCTACTACACCTCATCATGAAGTAAGTACACTGTGATTAAAGGCTGCATTAGAACCAGCTTCCTTTTTCCTTTACCTGCTCTGTCAGTTTTGTGAAGCTTGCAAAATTACAAACTAGATATGAAAATAGGTAAGCACTTTTTAAAATTTGGACACTGGAGTTTTTCTTGCAGCCAGTGGCAGATGGGAATGATTAGCAGAAAAGAAACAGAAGTGAAAAATTTTACAAATATTTTGGGTGAAAGAATGCACTTTGTCCCAGTTTGAACCCTGTGAAATATAAACTGCTTCAAAATGAAATGACTCTTTGAAAGACTCCACTAATTATCTCTGTGCCTTGTACATGCAAGTTGAGAGCAGGGTCTTGACAGGCTTTGGCTGAAAAGCAGGGTTTCATGTTCACAAGAAACCAAGAAACCTCATCTTTTCACATTTGGGTTACATTCCAAGCCCAACTGAAGTGAGTAGCTTTCAAATTCCTGGTGAACTGGCGTTTCTGAGAACGTTTTATTACGAACACACCAGCACATGCTGCTTCTGAAATAAAGCCTGGTTCCTGGGAGCTCCAGCCTCCTAGGCCTGCAGCAGTCCTTGGAGAAGCAAGATGTAAATGTTTTGCTGCTGAGTGCATTTGAGATGTGCTGGTTCATTGCTAGGCTCAGTGACAGCACATAGGATTCAAGACCGTGAGCTCCCACAGTGGAGTAAATTGGTATTTTGCAACTTAGCGTTGCTTTCTCAGAGCAGGCTAATTCACCTGTCCTATAGTGGCTGGACTTTGCTCTCAGCAATTTAGAGCAGTGAAGATATATGTTTGAACAATGCATTGGAGTTTTTCATTAATTTCCAGGCTTGTGCCAGAGCCTACATGTGTCTTGTGCTTTTGCTTCATTATTTTACAGCAATGCAATCTTTTTCAGCTCCTGCAGAGGTACTGTGAGAAAAGGGACTAATTTTGAGTGTTCTTCTAAAAGGTTTGCAATATTAATAGAAAACCTTGCTAAGAGGAAGAGCATGGATCTGGTGAGGAGCATTTATCCCCATCAGGTAAACCTGCAGAGAAGTTTATCAGCTGCTCGGACATGCAAGTTGAGATCAGGTTTTTATCAGGGTGTTACTGTGACACCTTTGGGAGAAGTTTTCTGAGCTGAGAGCAGTTCTAGGAACTTGCATTTCTTAGCATCTGCATGATTTATACTGTGCATTTAAGGTGGCTAATGACTGCATTTGCCAGATTCTTATAATTTGTGGCTACTGTGAGCAGCTGACACTTTCTTGGCCATCCGTTCAAGGATCCAAAAGGCTGCCAATGGTCAGCTCTTTCCATGGCTACCCGCAGCAATCAGAGGGCACCCGTGCTTTGTGTCGGGGTTTTTGAGGAGTGCAGCAGCAGCAGGCTCGCCACAGGGCTGCGCGGGAGGAAACGAGAACAATCGGCAGGGAAATACAACCCAAAATAACAAGCTGGCCTCCAAAAACAAAAAGGTCACTTCTTGAAAGCCACCGTTTGAGAGTGGGGGGTGAAAAAGAGTGAGCAAACGAGGGAGACTCAATGCCTCTGGGGTTCCAAAGAATTCCTTTTTATAAGCAAAACAATGCTGGAGAACAATGCAAATACTTGCAGTGCTTTCGAGGCAGTAGATTAATTTTTTTTTCCTTATAGAAAGTAAATTGGAACTGCTTCCATAAACAATAGGCATTGGCTACAGAAGAAAGTGTGAGCTTTTGCAGAGATTTAAAAATAACCAGAAGTAAGGAGCATATTGGCAAAGCGTTCTGTTTTCTCAGAATAGTAGGGAAAATGCAATGCAGCCTCAACATTTGAGAAAGAGAAAGGGTAAGAGAGCAGATTGGGAGACATAATGTGGTAAACTATGAATATGCCAGATTTTGTTTTAGAAGCCAATGTTTGGTGATAGATTACCTCATGATGGGAACAGTGATATGGATTGCAGACTTTGACAGCTCTTTCTCCAAACATTTAAAATCTTTCAAAATATTGTTCTTCGGTAGACCAGTTTATTCCAACTAATTATACTGACATATACTGTGTCCCAATTCAGTTTGGTGCTGAAAGCTGCCCAAACCTGAATATTCATGAATTCCAGGCAAAATCATGGCTTGCTCTGTGTTTTCACGCAGCACCTGGAACAGGGTGCAAAAGCACAGCACAAATAATAAAAACAATAACCAATGCATCAACCTCAGCAATTTTATTTATCTTTGCTTTATCTAGCACTAAATAAATAAATAAATAAATAATGTTAGTGGTGTTACCTGATTCCTGACCTCTGTAATTACACCAGTACTAAAGATACAGCAGCTGCAGTTCTGTTGTTGTAGAGGGCTCTTGTACTGGTAAAGCTCATTTGATTTTCTGAATGAAAATAAGCTTCTCAGTATGCCCCCGTATACAGCAGTAAAACAATGGCTGCACTAAAGAGGGTTTAGTGCTTAAAAACAGCTTCTCTTTTTTTTTTTTTTTCTTTTAGTGTAGGTGAGTCTCTGATGAGGTAATAGTCACAAAAATGTCAATGTTACAGCCAAAAAGCCTTTATCTGATATATGTGGAGGAATAAGAGACACCAATATTTTTGTGCTGGCTATCTGGCTTGATAAATGCAAGTTTAATTACTTTGTATAGGTTTGACTTGGATAAAGTGGCTGCATGCTTCTCTCTTTCCTTGTCCCACTGGAAGTACAACATTGCTGAAAAACAATTGAAGTTTATAGGTATTTCAATATTAGTCTTCACCTTCCGTGTCCCTTGCTGCTGCCCATCAGCATGTGCATTTTAGTTTTCTTTCGGCCTTTGCATATAAACTTCTTTGAAGTCCTGTATGACTTAGAATGACTCTTGGGATATATGTTTTGTCTTGTAAAGTTTCCTGGCAAACTGCTAGTCTGCACCAGCTAAAGCTCCCGGCAACTGACCATCTGAAGCTTTACTCCAAACAGGGACGGCTATAACTATGTTTCTTTAAAATAAACCTCAGGGATCCAGGTAACTGAAGGGATTTGGAGCCTCTGAGGGCATATTATACTCCACAACCTACTTGACTTATGGTCCTGGCCATGGCTGATCTCTGGTGCACAGCTGCCCTTAAATCCAGGATCAGACCCTTTGGGCCCCTCTGGTCAGCACAGGGACTCCCTCAGAGTCCCTCCCTTGGGTTTGTATGGATGTAGCACATCCACAGCCTTCTTCCCTGGGAAAGAGCAGAGAAGCTAGACTCTATTACAGTTAGCAGAAAATTTGAGTAGTTAACATCAAAGTCTGTGATTCGAGCATAGGCTTCAGTGGCAAAGCAGTCTAAAGGTTTCACTGAAATCTCTTCCAGGCTGGTACAGCATCAAAGACCATCTGCACTGATGGGTGGAGGTACACAGGCCTCTTCTGGCCAGAACAGCAGCATCAGCCCAGGACTAGATGAGCAAGCACATCTTCACTGCTTGGATGGAGACTGGACCAACCCCTGATATGTGGAAAAGGTCCTCTCCTGCTTCATCGTGAGGTAAATTTTCCAGTGGCTAATGGGTTGTGAGTGTGTGGTGGAGGAAACTGGAGGGCCTTCAGACCTCCAGGGCTAATGGTCTCGCACCCTCAGAGGTACAGGACCACTCAACCTGTTCTCAAGCACGTGACTGTACCTCAGTGCCCCTCTCGGAGGTCCCTAGCTGCCGTGCCCCATGCACTAAAAACCCTGGCAGGTAATCCAGTCGGTGTGAAGAGGGCTGCAAGGAGGGAGCCATCAAGAGAGCACGAAGGCTGCAGTTGTTTCCAGAGTCTGAAAGGTCCCTGCTCAGACCTCAACAAGAGTAAGCACAGTTATACTGGCCTAGCTGTTATGATTTAAGGTATTTTTAGTGATTCACTGCAAAAGTGGGATAAAGAGCACCTGTACAGGAGATAAACTCTTTATGTAAGACATGGCTCAGGGCATTGTGCCAGCCTATCACTGCCAGATTTGGAAGTATTCAGCTTTTTGTATGCTACGATGGAAACTTCTGAAGAATAGATTTCAGTACGTGAGTGACCCCTGGCATTTTGTACCCTGCCATCATGGTAACCTGTACTCCTCTCTCTTCCTCCCTACTTCTCTGTGCACAGCACTGAAACAGCAGTAGGGACAAGCTGTTTTGCTCCAGGAAAGCTGTGGAAAAGAGCACAGCTTGCATGGATATCTCAGCAACCAGTCTGCAGACTCTAAACAGGACCAAGGGCTGTATGCACCAGGGCCTCTCAAAAATGCACTGTAACGATTGAGACCTGAGGGACCCAGCAGTGTCAGCTTTGAGAACAGCAATGATTTTCGACAATCTCTTCTTCTGTCTACACTTCCAACGCTAAATCAGTCTAATTACTTCTGGGTTCTTGCCCATCACATTATGAAATGCTTCAGAGGTTAAAGAAAAAAAAAAAAGATCAAGCCATGGTCCAAACCTCAGGAGGAAGAAGGCATCTGTCAGGACAGGCTCTTACCAGAAATGGTAGAAAGAATCCTTGTTTACTAAATCTTTCAAGTCTGTAGCTAGTTCAAAGACACCTCACAGTCCTCCTCATTAGAAGAGCAAAGAACAAGTGAAAAGCCTTCAGACTAACCAATTAAAAGCAGTAGCTGTGTGTGCTGTGGTGTGGCAGGGATTTTTGTTTGATTTTTTTATTATTATTTTTTTTAATATCCACCAATGGTAGAAGAAAGTTCCTTCTAAGGTGATAATTCTGCCCTGCATTGAAATGTGAACAAAGGGAAACTTTCTCCATTTCATTTGGATTTATTCCCATCATTTGTAAACAGTGTTAACATAAAGATAATTCATGACACACTCACTCACTAAATGTGTTAGCATGAGCGATAAAAGATCTTAAGAGTTCTCAGAAGGCAGTTTGCTCTTTAACATAACATGTTTTTTTCTTGAAGGTGTGTTCTTGAAGAAGTATGTGAGAGCAGAAAAGAGTTAAAATAGCATTGTCATCCCCTGAATAGAGCATACCTAGGAAAGTGAAACACAGCTGTGACGTTCACCTGCGACACAACCGAGAGCACCAGTAAAGCGAAGAGGACAGTGTTGCAGCAGCTCTTGCATTTAGCAAGCATGGTAATAACAATGTAATAACATCACTCTTTTCCTGAGAACAGAGATAGGGATGGGGACGATAAATAAACTGCAGGATGCCAAACAGGGGCTTGACATTTCCTACAGTCATTTCTCCTGAGCCCCAGCTGATGTGCTGCCTTCCCCGGGATGACCACCTCTCACTGATTTCAGTGAAAAGTAAATTGTGTGCAGCTGTGTTGCCAAAAATGCCAGCTTAGGTCCCACTGAAGCATGGTGTTGGCTGCTGCTCTTGGGCATTCCTCCTCCACCCATTCCTTGTATGATCTCTGCAGGGATTCATTACAAATTAATTCTTTCCACTCTTTTTTTTTTTTTTTTATTTCCAAGGAGTATCAGTTGACATTCACAGCCATTCACAACCTCTCCTGTGCTCCTCAAGCTTCATATTACACCTGAACAATTTCACCGCCTGAATCTGGCCTGTACTTCAGCTTAAGGGGAAAGCTAAACAGTACTTGCATTTTGGAGAAAGACTGGAGCCTTTGGCTGTAAATTTTTCTTTTGGCGTGTCTCCTCAAGGTCCATTCACATTATACTTTTCAAGTGACAAAACAACACTGCTATTTATTAAAAACAATGGCGCTCTCATAATTTTGATTAAAAAAAACAATGGCGCAGGGGTGATGATGACTAAATATAACTCCCACGTGTTCCCCAGGGCCTGGGCAGAGTGAGGTGGAGCTCGGCACTGGAGTCTCCCTGATCCTTCCACGGATATCGGCATCTGCCACACCTGGGGTCCACGGCAAAGCTCTTTCCTCCAGAGGCCAAGAGCTGAGTCTACAGTTTCCAGCAGGGTAATCACCTTTCCCAGGCAATAACGAGCACTTCCTAAGAGCAGCTGTTTAAGATGGCTCAGAAGCGAGGAGAAGAATGTGGTTAATAGTTAAGGCCATGAATCTGGCTTCCGTGTGCAGCAAGGAAGAGCTACTTTTTGATAAAATGCCAGTTAGATGCTTGGTATTTTTTGTGGTTCCTTTTTGTGTTCAAAACTTAATGTCCCTTTGCACTATTAGTATTATTAGTATTTATTTTTTTTTGCAATATGATATACATAGGTAAATTGTGCTTGTTCACTGAGAGCCATATTTTTAGGCTCTTTAAAATGCGGAGGGTGTTTTTTTAAGGCCCTGTAAGCAGAATCAGATGAAAAACCAAGAGCTCTAGTGTTTGCACTGCAGTCAGCTGAAACACTGTGTTTGTTTTTTTTCTGTGCTAGTGAACTGTGCCTGGGGTACTCAGTGGGCACATTACAGGGAATGAAAGGAGCACACCTCGGGAAGGTGTAGTGCACTGTGCACAGTGCGGCAGAGAGCTTTTTGCAGTCTGCAAATGCTGTCCTTACTCTCCAAGCTGGTCTGCTGTTGCCATCTGCTGGATAAATCCTCCTGTTTTCAAATTTGATGATGAAGAGACTGTCTGTTCTTATTAAAGAAATACTTGTGTCTTTTTATGCTTTGTAAGACAGGCCTTTTCCCTGCAGGTCCTGTATGATACAGCATCTGCACTGGATAGGTGCATGGTGAGCATGCTGTGGCTGGGCAAGGACTGCACAGATCTGGGGGCAGTTTGCTATTTCACATACTCTTCCTGCACTCTGCATAGTAAAACACCTCCTCCAAAATGAAGGTAAGATCAAAACCACTCCTCCCTGAGACATCTTCCGCTTTAAAAAAAAAAAATAAATCTCTCTTGCAAGTCTTGCATTCCCCTTGTTATTGTACTGTGCTCACAGAGTTGTGCAATGCCCATTCTGCATATGTTCACACAAGGATCACACAGAAACTTTACACAAGGAAGAGACCTAAGAACCCTATCCATCCCTGTATATTAAATCTATAATTTATTTCTATTTTGCATTATTTTCATGTATTTCTTTCTAAACTATATCTGGAGAAGTATTTCTGCAGTCTGCTTCTGTGAGATTTTATATAACCTCCTTCTCCCTTGGGTACTTTTTACTTGCAATAGGAGTCTTAAAAAAATAATTTCCATTTCTTAAAGATTCTGTGGCTAATTATGGGACAGGTAAAATCTTATACTTGCAACCAGCTTTAAGACAGACAGGTTGCTGGTTGCCATAGACATCCTTAACACCATGTTATCAGGTCCCAGCCTAAGCTACAAGGCGTAATTCCCACGGTGTTAAATCCATTGCTGGTGGCTGATCACCTCCAGCTTGCAGGATTGCAAGAATCTGAGCTAGTGCTAACAATGGCACGAAGGTTTTAGAAAATGTCTTTGCTGTTGACAGGGATTTAACATCTTGTACTCAGAGTAGAAGTCAATGGGGTGTGAATCCACCCACACCAAAGCTGAGAATATCAGGACCCGTGACTCCTGTGTCTCTAAGCTCCACTTACATACTGCCTATAAACAGTCCTGCAAAGTGCCTTTGCATACCAGAGCAAGGGATATTTAAGCCCCTGGCCAGAGGTGCTATGGGCTTTTTCAGGTATCACAGCAAATTGTTGCTGCCACTTTACCAGGTGGAGGAGGTTTAAGGGCAAGGCATGTTAGCTCAGACCTGAGACAGTATTATGTTTATTGGCTTCTAGTTGGCTCAGCCTGGGGACAAAGATGACTTGTATCTTCTACAAAGCTATTACTTAAACATCCTCTATTAACCCATATTCTCAGCTTCACTGGCAGAGCTAAGCATCTTCAATTATGTTGATCCACTGATTTCAAACATCCACAGATCCCAGGCATCTACTGTGGCTTGTAGGACTCCTCATAAAATAGCAGACTTCACAACTTCTCTGTGCCGTGCCCTTCTTTTGATCCCATTGCTTTTTTTCTTTTACTGCTACTTTTCTTGTAGATATCAAACGCTGCATCAACACTTGTTATTTGATCCTGCCAAGAAAGCTAATGAAGAGGTACTTGCTGCTCAGTTCAGAAGTACCCGTGACCTGTTTTACCCTCCACGTGAGGACTATTTTAATCAATTACCCATCTACATCCTGAACTATATCTTCAGGGCATACGTATTTCTCCTCTGATGCCTATCTTGACATAGCTAAAATGCATAGGGAAAGCTTAGAAGTATCAGCCCAGCTGCTGTTTTCAGTCTCCTGCTTTGTGCTGGGATAACAAGGTGTTCAAATGGGTTCTGACAGGCTTTCAAACATCGTCTCTCCAAGCAGACCTGTTTCTTCTGGTTAAAGGTTAAAGGAGGCTTTCAACAGTATGCCTAGCATGGAGTTACTTAACTATTTTAAGTGGAAAGTGGTCTGTCAGCTTCTATGAGTTAGAAAGTCTCTTGGGAGCTCACTGCACCACTGGTAAGTACTCCTCATTTAAATCTTGGTGCTGCTGTGTTAGCTGAATATGAATGGACACTCTAAAAATGTTCTTAAAGCTAATTGTGTGCCTGCTTTGATACATCAGGTCATTACTACAAAGATATCAGGTGGTACAGATCTACTAGAGCAAATTAATCCTGGATGCACTTCAGAAGTAATGGTTCTTTCCCCTGCACTGTTGTCTGCACTGATTTATCCAACTAGACGTCTGCGATATATACATAAACTGCACCTGGCATTTTGATCTCATTACAGCAAACCTAATTGTTCTTGTGCATAAGCAACAGCAGTAAATCTATAAGCAAGGGTTTAGGTGTGCAATCAAATATCATTTCCACTTATCAAGGTTTAGTTGTTTCATCAAGCAAACTGCTCAGAGACCACATAACTAAATAAAAAAATTCCCAAGACAGATTCTTTATGTCTGCACTTTAAGCATGCCATTCTTATTGTTTGATATCCTTTCATTCATGTTAGGAGAGACAGGAGCTTCTTCATGCACTATTTCCACCACGTCTGCCCATCTCTACTCCTACCACTGACTAATTGGTTTGGCTGCCTCAAGATGACCTTGAAAAGATGTAACCTTTGAACCCAGGGTAAGAACTTGATTCTCTCCAAATGACATCTAAAAGAAGAGGATGGAAAAGAATAAGCAATTATATTTTGTTCCTCCAAAAATACAACACCCCCACTCCAGCAAAATTCTGCTTTCCAGCCTGACAGTGCTGGCCCAGCTCGCTCACAGAGCTGCAGACACCACGTTCCTCCAGGTTCTCGTTTCCTCTAGATTGCTCTGCTGCAAGTCAAGGTGATTGAAGTGTGGGGGTGTAAAGTAATCTGCAATGGGTCAGTAAGCTGTTGCAAGCCAGTGTTAGCTGCTAAGATTTGATCCCAGACCCATTGACTGCCTGACACAACACGCTTGTCCAGGAGAACCATGAATCGAGTGCTATAAACCATGCTAAATAAAAATATCTAGCATGCTTTTATTCTTTGGTTACACTTAAAACATTCAACTTATTTATTTGGATGTTACATTACTGAGTTTCAATTTTTATGCTTCTTTTTGGGAATCTTAGGCTCTGTTTACTCTCAGAGTTCAATTTCCATGTCCAGAATAAGTATCAAAAATGTCCTCCCAGAATTTGAACCTGATCAGGTAGGAAACATGCACTGGTCTGTAGGAATATAATTCTGCTCAGAATCTGCCCACTGTAAGTAGGAGGAATCAGTCCCCTTCTCTTTGCCCTTTGTCCTTCCTCAGCTTCAAATATATAGGGCATTCAGCAGTGTCTGCTAATTATTTTGGTCTTGTCCTATTCAGTTTAAGCTTTCATTTGCCGTGATAGAAGATTTGGACAACTTGTCTGTTGTTTTGCGTAATGCTTTTTAAGGTTGTGTCCATACTACTGCCTGATGTGGAAGCTGTATTGGTGACATTCTCAAGGCATGTCCTCAATGTGTCTCTTGTTATCTCGCCATTTGTGATGCCTGAGGTTGCCTTGTCCTAGTTAGATTCATGATGTAGAGGAGCTGACTTGCCAACTCATATGGAAGTTTGCACTCACTCTGGAGTGACTTATCCTATCAAATTTCTGCTGTAGGTTTCTGTGGCCCTGCTCCATGAAGAAGAGCTGACATGGTCCCGTTGATGGCAACTTTTATTTCTGCATCAGCATAAAAAATATTTTTAACACTACTTAATAAAAATACTTTTAATACTACTTAATACTATTTTTAGATGATGTTTTTTAAAGTTTAGAAGGTGATCAAAATCAGTTGTTTGGTTTTGATGTTTGGTTCCCTGATATTCATTGCTTCACAGTTATTCCAGAGCAATATTGTCATCACAGCATTTCTTCCTCCATAAATAAGAATTTGCCAGTAAGAATTTCTCCCTTTGGTTATTTTCCTGATGGTCTTGTCAATGCCCTGTGGAACCATCAGTGATCTCACCAAGAAGCAGTGGGGGCCGTTCTCTTGAGCTGAATGGTGACAACAGAAGGTTGGCAGAGGTCAGTGGGGCTTTTGTTGGCACCCTCAGCCTTAGACAGCGTGCCTTTGGTGACTGTTCCCCTGCACTGAAATCTTGTAGCATGCAAGTGCTGTTGGAAAGCAACCAGGAGATATCGCACCTCTGTCCCATGGGTGACCTCTCACCCCTTACAGCATCAGAGGCAGAAATCTCTGTTGGGTTCAGTGTGAGCTGATTTAGGTGCCTACATACCATGGAAAAACTGGATGCAAGCTGCACACAACAGCGGTGGCTTTCTCCCAGCCCAGCAGAGCTGGATTTCCTCTGGGACAGCTGGAACAGGGGAATAAACCACCCCTCCCCAGCTGGAGCACAGGCAGCTTGCAAGCTGTGCCAGGGCCTGTGAGGCAGGAAGGCCCTTTACATCAGAGGGCTGACGGCTCTGAGGCAGCCCCTGCAGGAAAGCCAGAACAATGGGAAACCAGAGTTAACCTCGCTTCTCCAGGCGGATTCGTGGACGAAATGGAGGAGGAGCAGCGCTGGCTCCGTGCCACAGCTCTGCATGCGGTGGGGATGGAGAAGCTGCGATAACATGGCTCCCTGGCTGAGGCTTTAAAAAGAAGGCGCTCACTTTTTCTGTTGTTTTCTCAAGCATTACATAAAAGTTCCCCTCAAAAGGCCAAAGGCAGCTGTTTTCTTAGGACAAGGAAATCAGGAAGAGGCAAAGCAGGCAAAAACATCAGATAAGTCTGGGAGAGGAGAAAAAAAAAAAAAAAAAAAAGGAAAAGAAAAGAAAAACTTGGCTAACCTATTTTTCCCCTCTCTTAAACAGCCAACCCTGAAGCACTCTGCAGAGCTCTGTCTAGGAGGAAAAGCAGAGCTGACCACTGACGAGGATACCCATGCTCCGGTGAGGACCGCTGCTCTCCCTCCCCTCTGGGCATCACGGAGGAGAGCCAGGTCCAACCTGAACCTCCAAGGTTGAGGGGTTTTGGGGTTTTGCAGTTGTAGCGCCTTGTCACAAGGTGGCAGGGACGTGACACTTTCTGGCAGGCTCCCGTTCAAAGCCTCACTGCTTTCTTTCTTGTTAGCTCTAAATATATGGAGTTAGCAGCAATCCTCCGTCATTTTCTTTGAAACTGTCCTTGGGATAGCTCAAAGGGAGGGTAATTAGTTATTTCAAAGCTTCAATATTTCACCTCTTTGCACTAAAAAAAAAAAAAAAAAGAAAAATGGCTTTGGTTTCTCCTGCCTGCAAGGCATAATGACTTTGGGAGGGAAGTTGTGTGAGTTCTGGCTTCCTGGCGTGGATGCACAGCTTTGGGCTTCTGGTAGCAAATGTCTGCACACATACATGTATAGGAACAATTCTCTTCCTTTTGTGTGCTTACCACTGATAGCTTTTACCCTTCCAGAGGCCAGGAGTTTTTGTGATTTTCCTGCTATGCTCTCCCAAAGATGTTGCAGGCTGCTGTGGCAGGGAGTGGAGCTGCTCCTCGAGCATCTCCAAACAGAATTCCACCTGCCATGATCAAATTAGGTTTGTGTTAATAAGCTATTAATACACACCAGGTAAATATTGAGTTAATAGCTGGAGTCCAAGCTGATCACTGTCTCCTTATGTTTGCTCACCTGGCAGTCTTTAGAGACGGGAGATTGTCAGGTTTTTTATCTGAGGTACACACGGTGAGAGATTACTTAGCTGTCATGCTGCAGAAAATGTCCCTATCATCCAGCAGGAGGTAACAATAACAAATTGCTGACATACAAATTCAGCTTTGCACAAATAGCAGTGCAAGATTCCTGCTGCCCCCTGAGTAGGAACCAGACCACTGCGAATGAGAGGCATTGGCACCGGAGAAGAAAATGATCTGACAATGCACCCGAGTAAAGCAGGTAGCATTATTAAATAATTATCTCTGCACTGCTGTTCACTGGAAAATATTTCACTTTTTGAGCACAATGCAGCATCCCAAGAAGGTGTTTTTGTGGGTCAGACAAATGTGCTTCCTACCTCATACTGAGGCTCTGAGATTTGTTTTCCCTTTGAGCTGAGGCTCAAATTTCAATTTATGTGAACAAAGAGTAATTAGAATTTTTGCCAGCTATCTAAAGCACAGACTGCCAGAACCAAATGAGCTTGAGCCCTTACATCCTTATTGCGCATCTTGAACTACACGGTGGGTACCAATACTAAAGTCAATCAAAATTTTCCCGTGAATCCAGTATCAGCCTGAATGGTTCCATTCATCTTCAGTACAGCTTTAAAATATTTAAAGAAAAAATACAAAATAGCAAGGGCTGTTAGACTGCCCCAGGCTTCTGCAATTGGGAGTAGGGTAAACTGTTAAAGGGTGCGTTAGCACTTTCTTAGGAAAATGTCTTCCGTCGTCCTCTGAAGTTGGCTGCTGTCAGAAACAGGGAATTGGATGCACAAAACCCTTGTGTCCATTCCGGACTGCCAGTCCCTGTGTCCCCGAGGCTGTTCAGAAGACTTTCCTGAGGGGTCCTGAGGCACCTCCCAGGTCCCTTCTGCTGTGTCTCTAGTCACAGCTCTTGGGAGAGTCCCCAGCTTCAGGTCAGGTGTTTATCATCAAAATGAACTTCCTTGGGAAAATCCCTCCCAGCCCTGAATCTGCTGCCAAGGAACAGGCTCCAGATGGCAGGCAGGGCTCCTGAAGGTGATTCCAGTTCCTGGTAGATTTTGGACAGGAAGGCCCACCACACCTCCTGGAAGAACATCAAAGAAATTGTCAGGAGAAAGCAAAAAATAGATCTGATAAATGCTCTATTTTCTGTGACTTTATATTTGTTTGTTTTTAGGTTTGAGCATGAAGAACTTGTCTGCAGATCTCTCACCAGCCTGGATACACAGAGGTATCCTGCTCACGTCCTGGAGGAAAATCTTTTCCTTTACTGAATTTCAGCTATTTGCAGCCCAGCTTGAAGTCCATGATCTGAACTTTGTGCTGGAGCCTTTGTGATCTGTTGGAAAAATTGATTGATTTGAAGCATTGTGCTAAGCTACCACCAAATGCTTTTTTTCTCTGTTCCTAGGAACCCTGCTTCTCTGGCTGCATGGGAGAAACAACATCAGAAAATGCCGTGTGCCAGCAAGTAGGAAATATAGAAATATATGATACAGGAAAGCAAGGAGCTATATATGGCTGAGCCCAAATCCAGTTCCGAGAGGAGATTTTCCAGTAGAGGACGGAGACAGACTGGGGTAAGAGTACCAACGAAGTCAGGGATGTGATTTGCCTCAGTGCTTTCTGACATAAGCCTTTCCTTCACGCTCGTTTCCCACCCACCATTTTGCATGTCAGATTTTTGCAGGTACCAGCGCAGCTGAGAATCCCTCTGGTGGGTTTGGTGCCCCGGCCAGCCAGACGGCAGAGCTGTGTGTGTTTATTTCCATGTAACAGCTTGTCAGTTTAACAAAGACGGCGCTGTGAAATCAGAGAGAAAAAAAATATGTCGTATCTAGCCACTGCATGTATGTATTACGTTGAAGAGGAATTCATTGCTCTTTTCCTTTGACAGGACAGGCTTAGCCCATAGCTCTGTTTTCACACTGCTAGAGCTATGTTAAAATCATCGAGGGGTCAGCTGCAGGCCCACAGCACTGAGGCAGTTCACCTCTAAATACAGGCTGTCGACTCTTCTCACTTACACGAGGGTGGAAAAACCATCTCCAACAGCAGATTTGCTGCGTTTGGTGTGGCTTTTTTTCCTTCTTTTTGCGTATTCATAATACAAAAATGGGCACTGAAAACAAGGTTCAGAAAATGCACTTTTTGTCCAAGATTGCGTTGCCAAGTTCCAGCCTGCAGCTATCGGCAGCTGAGCAATACAGCCCTGACTATATGCTTTATAATAAAAAGCTGACAGACCTTTAATTTTAGCCACTTTTGTTCCCAATATACCAAACGCATTAACATGCCCAGTCCACTTACAGAAGGCATATCTAGGCCATTTTCTTCCACATTTTAAGAGAGAGAAATGTGAGTTTGCGGGTCCAGGCTCTGTGCAGGCTCAGCAGCAGCACTGCAGGAAAACCCCTCCGGATGGGGCTGGAAGTGTTGGGGATGTTGTGTCATGGAGAAGTCAGCACAGACCTGGCTCAGAGTCACAGCTGACATGCAGTTTCCAGTGCTGTCTGTTTCTTGAAGGGCACATATTGTGGCATGCTGATTGCTCTCCACTGGAAGCCCCACAGCACTTGTGATCCCGTCACTTGCAGCAGGAGATGCGCCCAGCCAGCTGCATGCTGTCTGCTCAGGATAGGCATTAGCACACCATAGCTAAAGGGCATCTTGTTCCCCAGAAAGGCAACACTCCCCTTCCACACCAAAAGGAAATAAATCCACTGAATTCCAGAAAGCAAACAAACAAAAAGCAGGCTGCTGTTCCCCCTTGCAGGGCAGGGACAGCGGGATTTTTTTTTTTTTCCTGAATATTTCTAGGTCATTTCTGTTATTGCAGCTGGGTGCCTTCTCTCCTTCCTGCTTGCCTCTTTGCAGCCCTTATGGGAGCTATCTTACCTCTTTTTCACAGGTGGGGGAACCAAGGCACAGAGATTAACCCAGCTGCCAAATCACCCAAGGAGGCTGTATCACAGCATCAGCCTCCAGAACCAGAACTCATAAAAGGTTTTAGCAGCATGGTGAGTGTGGGGCCAGCACCACTAGCATGTGCTCACTGTTTTTTGTATGCAGTAAGTATTTTCTCTGTGATGTTCTGTTTTTGCTGAGTTGGTCTTTCAATTGCTTCCCTTTTTCTTCCTTTTTTTTTTTTTTTTTTTTTTTTTTAATTAGGAATCCTGCTGGGAAAGCTCTGCAGCAGCTCTGGTCACAGCTGGCTGGGCACCTGGCTTGCTGGGCTTGGAGCTGGCTGAGGCTGGTACCTCCAGGATGGGGCTGCAAGCATTGGCTCTTGAGGTCTTACAGAAAGGTGGCTTCCCTGCAGCTCTGCTCCTTGCCAAGCTGTACTTTGGCCAGTAAATGAAAGGTAAAAAGCGTTATTTTGTTGTTTTGGGTGTTCACTGTGGTCCCAAGCCTATAGATGCAGGGAAGGGAAAGCAACCCCATTCTTCCCTTACAAGTCCATAGGGCTGTAAGCACAGACCGCTCCTCTCCTTTTGCTGGGGGCTTGCTGGCGAGCTGGGTGGTGCTCTAAGTGAAGGGGGATGCTGCAGCTCGGGTTGTTTAATAGCTGAAGCATGCAGGATCTGCTGTCCGACCCCGGCACAGCTTCAGCACTGCTTACGGATGTCAGATTTGTCACGTCTCTTCTCCTCGGCACCTCGCTGCTGTCACAGCTCGGCGTCTGCCATATGTTGCAGCCCAGTGCTCGGAGGTATGTTTTCCTCAGGGCACGATGGAATAAGACTGCTTAATTCTGGGCCTAGCACTGTGTTCTCTGGCTTGTGCCCCTTTCCCAATGAAGGGCTTAGGTAGCTCTCTCCGAGCCCTGCAAATGCATTTAGGGTGGCCTTATTCTGAGGGACGTTGTACCCCACATGTAATATGGTAGCAACCATAATTAAAATGTTTATCGATGATGCTTGCATGGTAAACGAATGGTAAAACCCAAGGAGCACTAAATCACGTGGAACCTGTTGTGCCATTTCCCTTCTGAATGGTAATCCCTCTGGGAGCAGAGACTAGACCAAGCCCAGTAAGAGGCAGAGTGGACCAGGGCACAGCAGGAAGGGGGCTGTGGACTTGCGTATCTGTCTTTTCCCCTGCAGCCAGAATGTTTTACAAACTACTTCCTTCAAAATAAATATATATATTTGATGTAAGGAGAACTACTTCAGTCTCATGTTAGCAAAATATTTACTTTATAGCTTGGAGCATACAGAAAGTCCAGCAAAGTTGCTTTCTGTGCTCATAACCTTGAAGTTAGGGCTCTAATGCGGTGCTTTGCAGAAGCAGCTCAGGCTCAGGCATGCTCAACTCGTTTTGGCATTAGGAGAAGCGAAGTGGTGAAGCAATGTGCCCAGAAAACCTCTCAGTGGCTGCATCAAGGTTATTCCCATCCCTCTGGGTTCAGCTGGGTCTGTTTCTCCTCTGCTCAGGCACCTTTTATAGAAAGGAAGACTATCCTGTAGTTACAGAACACGAGGCTGTACCAGGTCTTGCAAAACAGGATTTGTGCTCAGCATCAGGCTGCAAGAAGTTTTTGCAGCACTATTTGAGATGGCAATTTGGACCCCCATGTAGCTTGAGGTTTGCAACAAACTCAAAGCTCAGGTCTGGGGCTTCAAAGCAAGTTTCATGGGAAAATGGTTCCAAGTACTTTTGTCTCCAGTTCAAAAAAAGAAAAAGAAAAAAAAAAAAAGCTTCCATGGAAAGAAGCTGCTACTAATTTTAGTAGATGAATGGTGTTATGTGGTGGGTGGCCAAGGTGATTTTACTTTTTTGAATGGCACATCCCTTGTTTTCTAAATTGTAGTAGTGAGTGGCAGTAATAGCACTATACATAGTTCTTCGGGAAATGCTGATACGTAAATGTTTGCAAGAGCAACTGCATCCAGTCATTACTCTTTAATGTTCATTTAAAAGAGGAAAAAAAAAAAAAGCCCTCAAACAAGTAACTCATAAGCAGATCTAAGCAAAGTGGAATCACCTCAAAGTAGCGTAAAGTTCGCCAGCCTTCTGAGTACACCTGGGTCGTGCATGCCTTTATCTTCATAATTATGTATGCTTTTGATATGGAAGGTGAAACTTAGCACTTTGCTTGAATTCAGCTTGGAGACTTGGGATTTGTTTGAACCGCTCACCCCACACTGATCTCTGGAGCTGCAAATCTTGCAAATCTGGGACAAGCACAGAGAGAGTGGTTAGCAGGCAAAACGTGTGTGTGCTCTTGTGGTCAACAGCTTGTCTGCATCTAAGCTATGCAGATGCTTCAAAAGCAAAATATTTTTAAAAACAACTCCCTAGAGAATGAATGATACAAGAAACAGCGGAGCCATTCTTGCAGTCCGTGTGCATCCTGGTGTCATTGCAGTGCTTGGAAAGATGGACGGGTTTCTGCACAGTCTGCTTGGGAGAGACATCCTGCTTGCTTTTCCTTGGCAAAGACAGCACACTGCTATTCTGCTGTGGGAGGTACAGCTCTCCCCAGGAGACTGAAAGGCAAGGATTTAATTTTTTCAGGAGCTTATTATAAATGATTGTGACTAACAGGCATGTCTTCGGTCTGGTGATGGGTGAGTGCACTCTGGGCACATGTTGCCCTGTGACTCCCTGTCTCCCAGCTGTCCCTTCCCAGGCTGCTTCCCAGTCCGAGTAAAACCTGGCCACGCTTCCCTCGTAACATGTTTTGAAAGGAACCCACTAGGGAAGAGGTCAGAAGAAGCAGTACTGGGTGGCTAAGATGCTTTCTAATGCATCAAGGCATTTTGATAATGTTGACAACACGGGTGGTGAAGAAAGTGAGCAAGCGTATAGAAAACAAGAAGCGAGGTATTAGTACTCATGCCAGAGTTCATTGCTGAAATGACTTAATCTGTCACTGAAATAAGGTCTAGAAATGTTGTCCACATCAAAGGAAACGTACACTTTGATGGGTTTTGGAGGGTGTTTTTCCTTCAGAAAGCAGCATGTGGTAACTGAGCTACTGACATGCCAGTAATTCAAAGGAGAGTTTTGCATCCCTGCTGTGAGGCTGAATGACAACATAATACTGTTATTAAGGGGGGAAAAGGAAGTCTCAGTCCCAGGTCTTCTGCACTTTACACTCTGTAACAACAACAAGCAATGTCAGGGGAAAAACAAAACAAAAAACTCATATCTCTTATATCAGGCAACCTTGAATTTCTACAGCAGTTCTCAGATTGGAACAAAAGTGAGGGATTTGAAGATTTTAAGTGAGAAATGACTTGCTGGGTTTTGCCAGCCAAACTTTTGGAAATGTGTTTGTTCCAGAAGGAGTTATATTTAACTTTTGTTTGTTTTCAATCTTACTAAAAATGTCTGGCTGTAAATCGCTGGAGGAGTAGGCTTTGAGTTTCTTACTCTCGCCTCTCCCACCACCTCCCAGCCACCTTCTTCCAGGTAAGAATAGGAGCAGAAAAGGAAAAAGTGTGGGGAGGAAACCGCACAAACAGTGCTTTTGAAAAATCCCTGAACCCACTGAAAAGATTATTTCCTAGTTTAAATTTTTCAACCTACTTTGCTCAATAAAGAACGTGGTGTGAATGCTTGACAAAAAAGTCACAAGTAGCATGAGGAGGGGCTGCACCTAGAGGCACTGGGCCCTGCTGTCCCCAGAGCAGCACGGGAGGGATTCGAGGTGGCTGGCTCCAACCTCTGAAGGTGAACTTGAATCCATTGTTCCCGATGTTAGTGACAACCATCAATGGTAGCTGTTAGTTAGAGAACATGCTGTTGGAGGAGGCGTAAAATGTATTCACCCACTTTCCCCAGGCACTTGGGAATAGTTCAGTAACCCTGGCGTGAATTTATAATCCATCATTTGGGTTTCAAAACGCAACATGCGAAGAAAAGGGAAGGACGTGATGTATTCCTTTAATCAGATCTTTGCTAAAGTTTGAGTGCAGCGGGTTAAGTGCTGCCTTATACATGTGAGAACAAAAAAGTGAACAATAATGGTGTGAGCACAGCTCCACTTTCCTGTGCTGCTTCTCCCTCTGCCAGACAGAAATAGCATTAAGAAGTGGCAATGAATTTCAGTGAAAAAATATGCTTTTTGTTTTTCTTTAACAATTAACACAATTTGCATGAATTTTAATTTCAAAATTTAACATCTTAAGTAACAGTATCTCAGCTTTTGCCTCATTAATGGAACAAGTGAGTTACCATCCTTTTTTTTTTTTTTTTTTTTCCCCTACATATTTCAAAAAGTTAAAAGACAACCAAACCAACAACTTTTCCAAAGTGTCCACATTCACAGAATGGCAGCCAGCCCCATATCTATATGATTGCTACTGACATATGGGTTCGGTCCTTCAGGCTTTCCCAGAGAACGTGTTGTCTTGTGGTATTTCTTGTCTAACCAGAGAGAGTAATGGAAACAGTGTGAGGAAAAGCTGTTCAGATAAGTGTTTGCCAACCATCTAGTTTTATGGTTCCTTGGAGCAATTTGCTATGTATTCCTCTTTGTGAATTGTATTTCTCCCTATAAAGAGAGTTTGGTTAAGGCACGTAACTTTATGTTGCACCGTCAGCCTATTTATCCGTGCCCGGGGCAAGATGTCAGCTGTCTTTGAACATGAAAGGCTCTAATTTCTTATCAGCTTTATGGAGATGATCTTTTTCTTACATCTTTTCATCAGAGCTGAGTAATGGCTGTGTGCTGACAAAAGTCATAACCCAAATGACGACAGCGTGTAGGACTCCAAACCACAACTATTCATAGCAAATGATCCCAAACTACTAACGTCTGGAGCCCTGAAGACCCGTGTTGGGATAGACAAATCTCCTGACTAGTTGTAAAGACACCAGCCAGCAGCAAATCGCCTCCCAGGAGCAAGCAGCCGTGTAATCAGCTGAGCATGGGAACCATGGGTTCAGACGTCTCTGGTTACCAGAGACAGGCTTGGGCTCTGGCCAGCCGTTTGGCTCAGGTTGGGAGTGCGGCAGTGGCTGTAGTGCTCTGGGAGTGCTGGTGGGAGGACCATGAGGATGAAATCCAGCAGTCACCGTCTGGCCCACGTGCTCTGAGGGGGTGCCGAGGGAATCCCGGGCACGTGCTGCTCTGCCTGCTGTCGCCGCTGCCTTACTGACAGGGAGGCACCTGGAGCTGAGGCCTCGTCTTGTCCTGCTTCAAAACTGCAATTTCAGGGCAACTGAATCACCAAAACTCTCAGGTGGATTGTGCACATTTGCTTTGCTTGGGGAAGAACAAAACCTAGCAGAGCATTTAATTTCAACACTTCCAAAATGAAAAATTCCACTTCGGGTCAAGTGAAATGTACTTTTAAAAGCAATTACCTCTGTTTTAATTTAGCTCCCCTCCCTCCAAAACAAAATGTTGAA